GAGTGGGCTGGAAGACCAAAAGGATTTTCAAAGACAGGAAGAAAAGCCAAATAGCAGTTTTAAAAAGTGGATGCTTCTATCATAGCTGAAATGCTTTATTGGACAGAATTAGGTGGTAGGCTTAGATGTTTCAGCTTGGCTCTCTCTCCTTGTCCATGTCTTTGAAAGATTTCATTAGCATCAGTGACCAAAAAAAAAAAAAAAAAAAAAAATCAAAGAAAAAAAAAAAAAAAATGACAAGGGGGAGATTAAGTATTCCCAAACTCGAGTTTGGAATTTACGAATAGCCGCCGATATCAGTGTGCCTCGCTTTCCACAATGGAGAGAGCCTTAAAATTATGTGTAAATCGAATCCCGTTTGCCCACCCGGTCCATCTTCATGCTGCCGATGCTCTGTCTTCATTTCTGATTGATTTTCCCTGGCAGAGGTGCCAAATTCTTTGCTTTAAGTGTCAGGCTCTCTCTGTCAAGTAGTTAATGACCTATAAAGCACTTAAAACGTACTGGAGGAGATGCTATTTGGAGGCGCCCTGCTGTGTACCCTCTCCTATTGTCAGTAATCACCCCTCATTTATTTGCTCTTATTGGTTTGGAATTTGCTATTGGTTTCCTGAAAGCTGAGCCCACCGAGGAAGGGTCCAATTTCAGGGGCACCTGATGGGTTCTGGGGGTGGTGTTCAGGGGCAGTTGCAGCAGGTGTGGCCTCTTTTCTTCAAAGCCCCTCTGTTTGGTCAGCTCTGGGCCACACCCTTCCTGGTTTAGCCTCTGGCCAGCTGAGTGGCCTCAAGTAGTCACCGCCCCCTGCAAGGCTCACTTTGCTACTCCGTGAAGCCCCAGGGCTGGTGTCTCCCCATGGGCAACTGGCGGGGATGCCAGGCTGGCGGGGACAGTGCTGGAAGAACAAGAAGAAGCCTGAGGTCAACATGAGGACAAAGGTCATGGCGCAGGCCAGCTCCAGGGTCAGAATGGGCAAGAAGCCCCGCTAAGGAGCAGAGCTGGGCAAGCCAGTGGCCAGAGATGAGGAGCACTTCCGGAGGAGAGGGGAGCGGAAGAGGCTCCTCCGGATGGAAATCCCATCAGTGAGCTGTGACTGCTGTAACCAAATACAGCCAATGTGTGACTGAAACCACACTGGCTATTATTATTCTCTTACAGTTCAGGAGGTTGAAATTTACAAGTTTCAATATGCTGAAGTGGAGGTATCAGGGCCAGGGAGATAGCTCAGCGGCACAAGCGCCCGCCTGGCCAGCGCAAGATCCTGAGTTTGATTCCTGGTACCAGAAAAAAAGGCAAGGAGGTGTCCACAGAGCCCCGTTCTGTGGCTTTGAAGAGACACATCATATTCCCTTTCCAGCTTCTAAAGCTAACTCGACTATGGCCCCTTCATCTTCAGATCCAGGGGCGCAGCATCTTCAAATCTCATTCTCAGCTTCTGTCACCACGTGGCCTTCTGCCTGTAATCTCCCTCTTTGTGCTTCTTATAAGAACATTTGTGATTTTAATAATCCAGGATAATCTCCCCACCTCAAGAGTCTTAGTCACATCTGCAAGTCTTTGCTATATCAGGGAACAGTCCCAGCTTCCAAGGATTAGGAGGTGGACATCTTGGGGGGGGCACAAAGGCCACCAAACAAAGGGGTTGAGAGTATGTGTTCTAAAGCCACTGCTAGGGCTGAAATCTACCAACTACATGGCTGTGGGCAAATAACTCCTTCTCCCTGATCCTCAGTTTCTTCATCTGTAAAATGGGTTCAATACTTGTCTCCAAATATGAACTCAGTAGGTATTGAGTTAGCAGGCACAGGGAGCTCCCTATGTCAGAGCTTGGAGTTTGAGAGTGTCCCCAAGAGAAACTTACATAGGAAAAAAAAGAAGGAGGAGAGGGTACAGGGCAAGGAAGGCTGGAGATGAGGGAAGTGCTGGGCGGAGTCCCAGTGTGTGTGTGTGTGTGTGTGTGTGTGTGTACATGTGTACATGTGCATGTGCTGGCTCATGAACTCTGTCCCAGAGATAACGAATAGGGGACACAGAACAAGGTACTGTTTGATGTCTGTGTCCTTTTATTAAAATCAAACTCATGTGTCATAAAATTCACCCTCTGAGAGTGCAATTCGGTGGTTTTCAGCAGTCACGGAGTTGTACCACCATCACTATACCTAACTCCTACACTTGCTTTACCCCACAAAGAAGCCCCATCCTCTTCAGGAGTCCCAAAAAGCAGGGCAGAGTAGGAGGGCGCACCCGAGAGCGTTGGTCTTCACCGAGGAAGAACGGGGGCCTCCTGAGATTGCGGTTGGGGAATAGCACAGGCCAGGCCAGGCCAGGGGGTACCCCCTTCGCCCTTCTCAGCTTCCCTGGTTTGTGTTGTGAGACCCAGAGTAGCTCACCCCACAGTCCCATATGAGCTATGCCCACCCCACAGGACTGAAGGAGGCCTCCAGGCTCACTTTGCACCCCAAGAACTAGTTTTAAGGGCTTGCCTGGCAAGTGCAAGGTCCTTAGTTCAAATTCTATTACTAAATTTCTGGATCCAGTCACTTGGCTCCAGAATGTGTGGGCCTCCTGGGACTCAGCTGTACATTCTGGTCCTGACCAGGTCAGTAGCTCCCTGGCTCCATCCCTGCCCACCCTCCCCCAACATATACACCAGCACCTCCCCACTGGAAGCTGGGCCAGGGTGGAGGCTGGGTATTGGAAGCTGGGTTCTGCCTGAGCAGCCCTGAGCCTCCCCACCAGATCCAGCCCCTCTGGAGGGGCTCCAATGCTCCCCCTTCTGCCCCTGGCTAGGTTCAATCCTGCTGGTTCCATGGAGTGTGTCAGCCCCCCACAAATCGGGGGTTCCTGGCCTTGCAGCTGAGACAGGAGGGGCGGCCATCTGGTGAGGCGAGAGGTTGCGGTTAGGACATCGCTAAGCCTGCTGAGGCGTCCCTTGGCAGTGACAGGGGCTTCTGGGATCAATTAGCAGAACCACCCCAACCAGGCTGGAGCTCCGGCTCATGGAGGTGGGGCGGGGGCGGGGCTGCTGGCCGTTCTCCCTCTTCTGGCCGCGGCCGGGGAGGGGCAGTTGGTGGCATCTGGAGCCCAGCTCCTCCTACCTCCCCTCTCCCAGTGGATGCAGCCTCAAGCCCGGCTCAGTGTTCACGGGAATAAAATGGGTCACATGCTCATTAGAGATCACTTCTTGCAAAGTGAAAAATAATAATAATAATAATATATATATATATATATATATATTCTCCCTTTTCAGCAAAAACATGCACCAAAGCTGCCCACAAAGGAAAAGACTCATTTATTCTCCACACAAATGGCTCTTGAGCTCTGAAGCTGAGCCAAGCACAGACAAAGAGAGACAAACACAGTGCTCACCGTGCTGGGGAGGGGGGGGTGCAGGTGTGTGCGCCGACTCCACCGGAGTGCGGAGAGGAAGAAACGAGCGTGCAGGGGGACCAGGGCATCGGGAGGGCTCCGTAGAGGTGGCAGCCTTTGAGTGGGAATGGATGAAGGGCCCGGGGAGCTGCACAGGTTGGGGGTGCTCAGGTGCCCTGAGAACAACAGCAGTGGGTAGGACTTGGGGTGACTGCGCCAGTGAGCAGGGCTCAAGGAGGAGCCAGTGTCCTGGCCCAGTTGAACTGAGCCAACGTTGTGCACAGAATGGGTGGGGGTACAGGAGCAGGGATGAGGGTCGAGAGTCCAGGGACAGACAGTAGGAGCTACACCAGATGGTGGGGTTGGGGGGGGGGTGAGGTCCAACGTCACCCTGGGGCACGTGAGTGTCTGGTTTTTCCTTCACTACTTGTTGAAGAGATTGTTCTTTCTCCCCTAAATGATCCCCCCACTAGTGCTGGGGAGGGCCTTTGCCCTCAGCTACATCTCCAGCCCTTTTTTATTTTCATTTTTGGAGTCACTGAGTTTCAGAGGGAGGGGCTTGAACTCGCAATGTCCTGCCTCATCCTCCCAGAGTGCTAGGATTACAGGTGTTGCACCAAGACGCCTGGTTCACCGAATGATCTTGGTGTTAAGTTGACCATAACCATAGTGCACTGCGGGGACTCGAGTGAGACGAGACAGTGAAATGTGAGCTACAGCACGGCACATGTGGTGCAGAGCAAGGAAGGGCTGGGAGCTGGTCGGCTGGGGCGGTGTGATCCATGGGTTTGATGGGGGAATGAGGAGGACTTGGGAAGAAAAGCAGCCCCTGCGTCAGCCTAGGCCGGTGGGGCGGGGCAAACCAGGCACAGGGCTGTGTGTGAGCCCAGGCCAGTAGGTCGGCAAGAATCTGGCCCACAGACCAATTATGGAAAGGGGTTGGGCAGACAAGGGGGAGACAGACAAGCCAGCTTCCTCCACGCCTCAAGGCCCACAAGTGGTAAAAATAAAACCCACTCCAGGCCCAGCCACTTGCAAAGTAAATTTCCAGGTACTGAGAGGCTTGTAAAGGCAGAACAATGCCAATTACAGCAGCATTATCCCGGATTATAAAGCTTCTAACTGGTGGCTCACACCTCCAGGCATGCTGTGCCTGGGAATTTCCAGGGGAGACTCCAGGATCCAAACCTCCAGGCTGCCAGGCAGCTGGTGTGGACCAACAGGCACAGCGCCTCCGCGGCCTCCACTGAGCTGCCTCTATTTCCCAAGGAGTTAACCACCAGGAGGACACTTAGAAGGAAATTTGTCCTTCGAGGGCTTCCCGACTGCTAGGAGCCCCAGGTCCCCAAGGGCTCCTTTTGCCCTGTGCCTGGTGCTTTGGCAGTTTCCAGACCTTTCTTGTCCTTTCCCCTGGAGGAAGTTTTGGAGACACGTTTGTGCCGTGATCCAGGAGGACTTAGCAGGACCTTCCCTGCAGCACCTGAGGAAGCAGTGGTAGGGGCTGATTGAATTAGGGTCCATCCGTCCTTGTGTCCTTGGACAGGTCCACGCCACATGGGGCTGTGTGAATAAAACCAGGGGACAGGAACCCACGGGGTGACTCTGCTGAAGTGCTTCAGAATCCACAGGAAGTGCACACACGCACCCTTTATTTTGTACGTTCACACGTACTACACAGATGCAATGAAAATGAGGGGAGGGAAACATGTCTAGGTGACCCAGCGGTTACCTGTGGGGAGGGGGCTGGGATGGAGGCCCAGAGGTGGCAGGTGCATCCCAGGGACCTTCACCTTGCTGTAGCTTAAATGTCCTGTGGCCACAGCATGTGCCTTTGTCACCTGCTTAGCTATGCATGCGATACCCATGTGCATGCAGAGAGCGTGGCTTGACCCATGCTCAGCCGAGGCGCCACACTGGCTGTGGCCATAGCTCCAGGGAAGAGTGAGGAGTGAGGGTATCTCAAAGCCTTGTGCAGATGTCCCCAGGCTGGAATCTGGATTCAGGGCTGGCCATGGCCCTAAGGTGGGCAAAGGACATTCCGTGGGGCTTGGAAGGGACAGAGAGAAGCCACTTAGCTGGCTGCACTGAAGCAGTACCCACCTCTCATGGAGGAGCTGTCTGCCAAGAAAACTATTGAACTACATAAAAATCCATCCCTGGAATCCCAGAGGTGTCCTTAGAGTGGAGTATGGCCTTTAAATTAGATGGGGGGTGGGAAGGCAGGTTTTTCTTATAACTTGATTTCAGGTTCTTTGAGGGCTGATGGCCAAAGAGCAGTGACTGCCCCTGGCTGAGACCACCCTCGGAGGTCCTGCCACGTTGGTTAGAAAGGGAACCCCAGCGCCACCAAGGATCGGGACTCAGCTGCACAGAGTCCTCTGGAAATTTTCCTGAGGTGGGGGACACTGCTCCCTGCTTGCCTTCAAGGTTCAGGCTATGAAGGGAAGGGAGGGTTGGAGGTTGAGATGAGCTGGAGGAGGCCAGCAATTTCTAGCATTTGCCACCCCTGGGAGGGGACTAAGTGGGGAGCTTGAGGGTGGCAGGAGTCACAGGAATGTTTCAGATGCCCTGAGGCTCTGGGAGGTTGGTGGGGGACAAACCTTTGGTGGAACACAACCTCAGGAGGGACAGCAGGTGAGACCAGGAGACCCAGGGGGAAACCCCACTAGGCAGAAACTAGAGAAGCCAGAGACACCAGTTGCCCTTGCATGTGGGGCTCTGTGACAAGGTCCTGGAGGGGCTTCCTCTGCGTCCTAAGTCTAGGTTCCTCCTCAGGATGGTCACATCCATCCTTCTTGGCAGGTCTAAAGTGCCACCAGCCTCCTCAAGAATGCTCCCAGCTCCTTAGCATCTCTTAGGGGCATTCTGGGTCCAGCACCCCTCATCTCCACCCTGTCTCTGTTCCCCAGAGCAGGCCCGGGCCCTCCCGTCCTCAGGTTCCCTGGCCCCTCATTGAGCAGAGTGCCTCCCCACTGCCCCTGCAGCCCCCTTCTCTGAAGAATGGCTCTCTGGGGAACTCCCACCTGATGCAGCCTGCCTGAGCTAGAGAGTCCCTCATCTGTCCCCTGGAGCAGTCCTGACTGTCACACGAGCTGCCACAGGCGGCAGTGACTTTCTCAGGTCCACATTGTGGCTGGAAGCAGAGCTGGGATCTTAGGAAAAGCCCAGTGGCCACCCTACTCCAGGGAGCTCAGTTCGTAGCCCTCTCTGTCCCCTCTTCCTCCCTCGCTGCCTCCTGCACCCTCTCAGCCCTGCAAGCTTTTGATGCTGGGCGCTGGGGACCCCGTGCTCTGTCTTCTTTGTCACCCTCCAGGACCTCAGCAGTTGTGTGCTCCCAGTCTTGCCCTGGAGCAGGCTCAGCCCCCTAGCTGGCACTGTCTATGTCCACCTGAGGGTGATCAGTCAGTCCCTGAGGGCCTCAGTGACCCAGGGAGAAGCTGGGAGGCCATGTCTGTCCTGGAAGGCCTGGTGCCTCCCTCGCAGACTGTTCCAGGGACTTCCGGAGGCTGGCCTGTGCCCAACCCCAAGCCAGCCTTCCTTTCTAGCCCTGCAGAGGTGCCGCCCACGCTGGGCCTGTTGGTGCACACCAATAAGCCCAGCACTCAGAAGGCTGAGGCAGGAGCATTACCGTGAGTTTACGCACACAGTGGTGAGACCGTGTCTCAAAAATCTGAAAACAAACAAACAAAAATGACACTGCCTGAGGGCTGTGGTCCAATGCTGCTTGAGGGCTTGGGCAGGGCTCAGATTCCCCTTTCCCTGAGCTCATTTGGAGTTTGATAGGAGGGTACCCCAGGAACCTCTGGAGTGGCCAGGGAGGCAGGGAGAGAGCACCAAGCTGGCTGACTCCCAGATGAACAGTGAGAAAACCAAGGCAGGGCGGAGCGGAAAGGGGAAGAAGGAGCCAGACAGCCTGGGGGACAGGCCGCTGAGCCCCGGGTGACATGCCTTGAGGTGTAAACTTGACACTTGGGAAAGCAAAAGGCTCTGGGACAGGCACTGGGGACCCCTCTGGTCATCCCCAGCCTCAGATTCCCAGCACAGAGACCCCTCTAAGGGCCTGGCCAGAGACACACCAAGCCACACCCCAGCAGTGGCACAGGAAAGAAGAGTCCTGGAGGCAGCTCAGGTGGCCACTAGGTCTGCTCTGGCCTCCACCTCAAGGTGCAGGTGAAGTCTGAGGAAGAGAGGACCAGAAGCAGCGCAGGTAGTGGAGTGCAGAACAGCCAGGCAGAGGGGGCTTTGGAGGACTGGGCCCTGACTAGGGAACACAGGGTGACAGGGGTAGCACAGTGAGTCCCCAGGACCAACCCAATGGGCCAAAAACCAGGGGCTCCTTGTTAGGGGAGGGAGAGTCTCAGGCCATCCGTCGAGCTGTGCAGCAGCAGCTGCCCTGCACCCCATGGCCCACCCCAAGCATGCCAGGACATCTTTCTTGACAGTGGACACCGACCCAGCCTGCCCCAGGATTTGGCTCCATCTCACTTACACATTGTGGGCTGCCATACCATCCCCACCATCACCAGCACAGCCCAGCCTGAGCGTGGCTCAGCATTCCCGCTCATACACCCCCACTTCCTGATTCCCTGGGGATGTGACCACCCAGCCTTTGGACCAGTCTGGCAAGTGGGGGTCCACATGGCTCAGTCACGGCCCCTATGGGACCCCTGTCAGGTCCTGGGGCTCACAGTGCCCACAGACCGGGATACAGTCTGGCGCTTGGGCTAGGATGCAGGGCAGGGGAGGGAGGCAGCCCGAAGTTGAGGGAGTGCTGCATATGAGAGGGAGGGGCGCAGTGTCCCTGGGGGCTGGCTCCTGGTTCCGATCCAGGGCTGCTCTGGGCCTCTGGTGCAGGTTAAGGCTGATGGCTCAGAGAGCTCGGCCTAGAGATTTTCATAGACCTGGTTCACCTCGCTGTCATCCTGGAGCTGCTGTCCTTTCTCCTGGGAGAGGAAAAGGAAAGAATGGGGGGAGGAGAGGGAGGAGGAAAAGAGAAGAAAGAAGGGAAGGAGGGGGAGG